CTCTGCCAAACGAGGACGCTTTGGCTGCGGCTACGTTGAACCTATATATAACAGCTTGAACTGAAAGAGTTGATTAGCTAATTGCCACTTGCCAGGACACAATGGTCGGGGCTATAGAGAATTGGGATTGGGGGGAGTGGGAGTGGCCTGAGACCGTGGAAGACAACCCGAACTCCAATCCACCGAACAGCGCTGAAGTGCTTCCTCCAAACCCCGACCAAATGAATGAGGTGAAGGCTGGCGCGGTGGGTGGTGAACATGAAACAAAAGAAATCAAAGGGTCAACGGACAGGGATGGGAAAACAAAGCAAGCAATGCGAGCCGCCCAAAGCACACCCGCAGAATGGGAGAAGCCAGCAGTTGAACCCAAGCGCAAGCCCAAAGCCAAGCCTACAAAGAAGAAAGCGCAAGAAAACGGAGACGAGAAAAAGTCCAAGACATACAACAAGACCGACTATGGGAAAGCAAAAAATGACTTCTTTGATGCGTTTCCCAGCCGCATCTGGCACACTTCCGCTTTGAAACCGACGGCCACTCGAATTACTCAGAAAGGTTGGTCCTTGTGTTGAAGTTGGGCAAAGAAGTACCCCGCAAGGAAAAGGAATCAAGGCCTGGGTCTTGGTCGCCAGCTGCTTGCTTGAGTTTGCTCCTTCAATGGAAAGCCGCACTTAAGGTGGAAAGACAGCACTGCTGTTTTGGCCGCCATGTCCACTCCGGAGCGGAAACGCCGCAAGTTTCAATAGCCCGTGATGGGCAAAGGCTTCATATCGAATCTGGGGGAAGCCGCAGCCAAATGTGTATATGAACACATATACACAGTACATATTTATATTGTTGTTTTTCGTTTGTGTGGTGTGTTTAGTTTCCACGTTGTTTGGGGTCTGGTGGGATTTGCGCGCGGCTTCAGTCTGGCATGCAATATTCTACAGCCATGCCTTGTCGTTTTCCTGACTTGTGACCAGGCCAAGAGCTTTCAAAGGCGGAATTTGTTTGCGCAATCTTTCTCACAGATGAACGAGTTCCTGTCAGAATTTGACATCATTTGACCGGCTTTGCAAAGGATGGGTCGAGCTGTGTGAGCATTTGGCTTTGGGGAAGCATAGCGTCCAAACTTGCGTCATGAAGTTTTCTGCACTTGCCGTGGTGCTCACGAGCCTCCTTTGCAGTTCCTCGGCGTTGCACTCAAGCTTTGATAAATATATTATTCAGAAGAAAGGCATTGACTTATGAGAAGCACAATTTGTATAGATGAAAGTGTTCAACTGTTTTCAGCCTCGGCGATTCTTTGTTGCTTGCGCAGGCTGTGGGGAGATTGACGAGGAGGGCTCGCTGGAGTTCATTGATGGCTTTGCAGGCGTGCTGACAAACAAAATTGGCGCTAGTTCGCTTGTGCGGTTTGGTGAGGCTGCCACCGGCTACATGATGCTATGCTACTTTATGGGGTTCAGTCGCTTGCAATCGATGCGCCCTAGCAGCATGTGGGTTTCCAAGTGATGCTGCATGATTTCTGCCCACTAGTGACTTAGTGTTGCAACGGCTGCAGGTCCTCTTCTCAAGAAAGTGGAACATCTTGTCCAATGGAGGATTCCTTCTTTGGCTGCAAGCTGTAGCGTGCTTGAACAAGTTGAAAGCAGTTTTACGATGGGTTCAGAAACTTTTTTGGAAACGTGTGCTTCACAAAAGCTGAAGGCGAGAAGACTTGTGCAGGGCGGCTGTTTGTGGATTGGAGTGCCCTGTTCCAGCTGGATATTCATGTGGCTGGGTGGAAGCGTACGTGTGAAATTGTCGGGTTCCGCGAGTGTGGCCTTGTTGTATGAACAAGTGAGGTCCAGGGCAACAACCAAGCGGCGCAAACTCCGACCGCGGGGCAACACTGCTTGGAAGAAAGTAAAGGTTGCCAACCGCATCGCGCTCTGGCTGACATACCTGCCTGGGTCCTAAGTCTTGTTTTTGGACAACAAATGCTTTGCCACAGCTCTTTTTTGGATGTGTTGGGTCAGGCTGCGATATTTGAAGTTGAAAGGCGCGCACTACATCATTGAACAACCAACTTCAAGCCTCCTGTTTCATTACCCGCCCCTCCGGGAGACTTGTACTGCAATCTTTTTGCATGTCTTTATGTGAACATAAAGCAGAGTTCAGTGAGTCCGTAAGCTAAGAAACTCTTGACAAAGCATGCGGCCCGCACCGTCAAAGTCAAACTGGGAACTTATGGAGCCGAAAGTGTCAAGGAAGAGTTTTGG